GTCAACGGTTACATACGGTGCGCTGTTTCAGCTTTGTTCAGCCGCGCTTTGATTTACGCGGCTTTACGTGACGTCACATTCTCCCGGCAGTCGCACGCGGACGCACGTAGCGCTATTGAATCTCGTGCATAGAGCAACTGAACCCTATTTTAAGCTTAGCTGTACAGTGCAGAATCTAGAACACTACAAGAACCCTTCTGCTGAGCTCCAACTTTTTACGACAATACAAAACTGTAATTTCGGCGCGCACACGCGCTGACGAAACAACCCGCTACAAGACTTTTGATGCAGGTTGGCTCATAGTTAATTTATTACCGATTTGTAACAATACTTATTTAAGATTCCTAGGATAACCCTTTAGGTCACTCGAACAAGTGCAAAACAGAACTGCAACGGGAGGTGGAGGATCGGAGAGATGAAGTATTGTTGAACGTGTAATGTCGCTGGAGCCAACGTTTCAACAAGTGGAATGATATTTGTTTGCTTTTATGTATTACGAACATGTTCAGCTCAACTCTCACTTAGCTTTCGCCTAGGTACCATTTTTTAAAATTTGATTTTAAAGTTGGCCTCTCCTCATACAGGCCTTTATTGCAGTGAAGCAAGCTTCGACAGACATGTTCGACAGGAGCACTCAGAAGCCTGCTTCGAGGTGCTCTTGTCCTGGCTTACTGCCTGCAAGAAGTTCCCACCGTACATAGATAGTGGATTTCGATTGGTTTAGTTGCAGGCAGGAATACGGGCCGGAAAACCAACGTGTTCATCCGCTAGAACGAGAAACCATAACGTTCTCTGATGCGGCGATCCATTCATCACGCTTTGTTCGTGCTCGCCAGCAGCGCACTGCGTTACCGTAAATATTTCGTCAGTTACACTTATTCATTCATTGAGACCATCGGCTGCTTTGTTGACACTGGCGTGGATCCAAGGTTGGGCGGTCGGTATTAGCTGCTTGCGCCATTCAAGGGCAAACTTCACCCGGTGCTCGTGCCGAAAAAAGAAAGCGGCTGAACTGGCGCCGCAGGCTCTGCCCGATCACAGTGTCTGGTGAGTCGGTGACATGAATTTGCGAAACGCTGTAAAGCATGCGGGCATTGACTAACTTCGCATTTAATTAAAATCCGGTCTTCAATTTTATACCGTCCTTTGTAATTGATCCACTGTCACTGCATCGACGGAATCGGTTAAGCATGCGCACGCAGCGAAGAAGGCGTAGGTTCAAATCCTGACCTGCCTCCCTTTTTATTTCTCAAACCGACTGCAGGAAGGCCGTATAATGCTTCGAATTGCGAGCGGATGTTCTACAACTCTTGTGAAGTCACCGGTTTTCGTAGAAGACGTTTCTCTCTCCCCCCCCCCCCTTTTCGGCGAGAATAAAGAATCGATGAACTTCCAGGGACACACCTGTATCAACATTGAATGATCGATGTTCTTGGTATATCGGCGGTGAACGTCTATACGTAAGTGAGACGAAAACGCGTCGAACGACGATATCCGGCTATGAGGGGCGTCCTGTAATCGTGCGCTCGTTACAGCGTAAGCGTTACAAAAGTATGCGCTAAATCTACGACAAGGCCGAGATTAAACGTGCTCGTCGCATAGTTTTACTCGATCATGAGATGTGTAACACGATCAGCGGCGGAGTGGTACAGCGGCGATGTGCACTGCCGCTCTCGCGTGAATGTGGCCAGCCCATTCGCATAACATGCTTTCCCTTCCTTCTTCGTCTCTTACGTGGAATGCGCTATCCACCCCGTCCTAGATTCAGTATCGGAACCCCGCACGTAGCGTCGGAATGCCATATAGCTCATGCGGTACGTGCGCCTACATTGGGTGGAGACAGGATGGTTCCATTCTCGCGGCTTCAGTGTTTCGCGGAGAAGCTTTTCTCGCAGCCGGAAGGAAACGGCAGTCGCGAAAAACAAGCCTCCTCCGTCATTCCTCCTTTCTTTTTTTTTCCCCTTTACTTTTGCCGCTGGGAGGCGAGGTAAGACTGACGATGCGTCGAGGAGACGTTGCTTCTTTTTTTCGGATTTGTTGGACCCTCGTGCGGCAGCTCCTCCCTTCGACGGAACGCACCCGATGCAGGAAGCGTGCAACGCAGAAAGCGAAACGCAAAAGCCAAGCAGCACGGGGCAACCGACATCCGAAAACGCAGCGGCAAGCCACTACAGGCGCGAAACACTTTCTTCTCCGTGTCTTGCGTTGTTTCTCTCCTTAATATTTTTCCCCAAATTAATCTGACATTCACGTGGCGATCTCGGCCGTTTTGTACACGCTATTAGTCACTGCGAAGTCGGACATATATGTGTGGGCTTGATATCAACTCGTGGAAATCGTTCTGAGAAGTGCACCAGTGTAACGATCGACTGTTGATTGTTCCGATCTGGTTTTCCAGACGTACGACAAACACGAGTCAGTGCAACGAAAGGGCTCAAATTCCCGGAAACTTGTCGCGCTGCTGTCACATAAAGAAGACACGCGTCCTCTCTTCTTTACGAAGCGTTGAATGAAGCGCGCGAAAAGACCGCACCTACGCGCAACTCCATCGAGCTCGCACGCAATCTTGCTGAAACGCCTCTCTTGTTTGTTTGTTACCTTCTTTCGTGTACATCGCACACTCACGCGCCTTTCGTGGGTGAAGAGACAAAAGAAAAGGGGAAAATACAAACGAGTACATATCCCCGTTGCGGGCACACTTGACCCGGCATTGTTTCCCGGCCCTCGTAGGCGCTGCATCAAAACGAAGGTCGTAAAGCCGGAGGCTCGCCGCTTTCGCTCCCAGCGTTCCTACCGCTGGGCAGATGAACAAGAAGGGACACTGTGGCCCACGCAGCGAAGTTGCCGCATCGCCGAGGCCACGTTCGACCGATTCCTTAGGGCGAGTGCGGTGGTCGTGCCTTTTGCGGCTTCGCTGATGCCGTAAACAACAACGCGCGCTGCTCCCACTCGTGCCTCCTTCTGATTCCTTGGGGTGCACACCGACCGACCGCGCCTGCCTGTTACGCCATCCGCACAGATAGCATAATAAACGAGCCCGCGCTAGGCGTAAGCCTCGCGTAGCCCTGGCCTGCCGGAGGGACGGCCCCGACCGCCCAACCACAGCTGTAACAAATTTATTTATTTCTGGACTTCGGAACAACAACTAGCCAAGACATATCACGCGTGAGATTCGGTGCGTAAAACCTGCGCTTGACGTACACTCTGACCAGCGGATCGAATTATTATAAGGAGTCGGTTGATGCTGCGCGCCGGCACTGCAGCCGGCCCACCCTGAAGGCAACTTTTCCACTTTGCATTGGTGCGTAACTGAAAACGACGCCTGCCGGTGCTCGATCCGCATCGGCTCCAGCGCGATCGAAGTATCTATCGAGACGGCCTGCTTGTGGTAGTAAGGCCCCTCTCTCGATCCCCGCAGCAACAGTTCAGCGGGCGCCGCTTTGACCGAAAGGGCGCCCGCCCACCGCTGGGTGTCGTGTGTGCCACATGCGTCCGGCGCCTCGGGCGCTGTGCGTATCGACCGCGCGCAGCGCAGCTGTTCACCGTGGCGTGCGCGGGCCGGAACGAGAAAGCGAACGACCTTGTGGCCGCCCTCTCAATGGGGGGACGCCCCTGACCGACCACCGGACGCTTCTTCTTCGGCGGCCGGCAACAGCAACGCCCTGTCCCGATCATCCCCCCCACTTCCTTCTTTCCACATCATCTCTGCACTCTCCGCGGCGTCCCCGCTTTTTCAGTCAGATCCGTAAACGAAGGCATATCCGCAGTTTGCTTAGGCTGTTGTATTGATAATCTGTTCATTGGGTATAATTAGAAACAGAAGGACCCAAACGTAGTGGACACAATTTACATTGTTCATCTAAAATGCATCATAAAGCTGAAAAAAAAAACAAAAAAACAAGGAAAGGTTTGCTTTAAGAATGCAATTACTACCAGCCCAAGCAGCTACATTGTTACTATGAACTAGGATATCTAGTACGAAAAATGCAATTAGGGGCTTATGAGCTTGTATTTCTTGATACATGAAAATAGCTATTTTGGTACATTTTTTCTAAATCTTGTGTTCACTGGGAAACTAGGGCTGTTGAACACTGCTAGGCCAATGTGTGAAAGTATACATTACCAGACCAAAGGAGTTTTACACCAAGGAAATGGTTTCTTGGTTGTAAAAAAAAAAAAAAAAAGAGGGGTGGGCGGTGGGAGAGTAATGAATCAATGAGGAGGAATAAAACAATTCCTGTGAAATAAAGTCTACAATCTCACATATCCTTCACACAAAATGCGTTCCCCATCATAGTTAACTCTACCCATTTTATTTATTTTTTTTGCCTTGTTCTTATGATAAAAGTATTATTCAAGTTCAAGTTAAGATCAGTGTGGTAGGTATAGTGCCAAGAATTCACAGCATGTGCCGTCGAAGAAAATTCCTTTACTGTTCACATGGTCTAATTGGTATAAAATAAATCCGTGTACATTTCCGGTTTAGATTTTGCAGAGATTTTCTAAGAACTGTTGTGTTTGACCACATATTTATACGAATGACTTATCGTATGCATGCACCATGCTGTGGTTCTTGTGTGGTATGTATTGGGATAAGCGTGTGCACGGTTCCCCTTCGGGGGGGGTGGGGGGCAAAGGTTTGTCTTAGCACCCCCTCCCTATTATATCAATGCATGTGGCTGTGCTCCCCCTCTTACTAACGAGGGCAGCATCCCCCCCCCCCCCCCCCTCGTCTTTTTATGCACACACCCATATGTATTGGACCACCTGCGTTTCATAGGAGATGGCAAGGTTTGTGAGAAACTGCAGCGAAACTTGTAAATGAGCAATCTGCAATACCATTAGTATCAGGATTCATTTCTCTAGCCTCATCTTTTTATTTCTCAAAAAAAAAGGGAAAAAATAAGCTGACTTATAGTTTATAAATCATAACTTGATCAATACCCTGAAGAAGAGGTGAGATGCTGTTATGATGACCTCGCTGTCTCCTGCATGTCCAGGCACACCATCATGGACGAGCTCAAGTTCGGGTGCCTCAAGCTGGGAAAGTGGCCGCTCACCTCCGCGGACTGGAACCCCTTCTCCTCCGGCAGGCCTGGCCGCGGCAGATGCACGAACCTTCTGGCGCATGTCGCCCACTCAAGATGAGGGTGTCGACTTTGCTGAGAACTTTGGCTCCTCTGGTGAATCTGGATGTGCAAAAAGAAAGGTACGTTACGCTTACTTTAGCAACCATGTTCGTATTCATTTCAGTCATATTCAAAGTGAGACAAAGTAGGTTGCTTGAACTGACGTTTCATCAATCTAAGTTTGGCATTAAAAGTTTGCTTTGACTTTAAAAATCGACCTGTAGTTTGGCAGAATTCTTTCTCCCTGCAATTCAAAGCATATACTTGGATTAGGTACTTGTACTGATTCACTAATTCATCAGATGTTTGGTCCTGAGATATTTACCAATCACTATGAGCAAATTTGGAATGTAAGAGAAATAAAATAAGTATTAACACGCCTTTGTCTGAAATTGAGATGCCTATCTTATTCTCACCTGCAGCGGGTGCTATACAAGTGTATGTGGAAGGAGTGCGGTGAACGATTCTCCACCTGCAAGGATGTTGAAAGGCACGTTCGTGTAAAGCACCTTGGGTAAGTTACTCTTTCTGTCAATACACACACACATTTGTGTTAATATATTGAGTGAAAAAATCACCATTGGAATACGAATGAAAATAGTGTCCTAAATTTAACTGGACAAGTTGGATACGACAGTCCCATTTCTCTGTGTAAATGTCAAAAATGACGAAAGCATGACAAAAAAAGGAAAATTACAGCAAGAGAGACAGATGAATAGCATTTCTTAGAGGCAACTGCCACAGCGACATGAAATCTTGCTGCAAATGTAATTTAGTTTTGGACTGTTATCACAAGCAACGGGCTATGAAAGCAAATGATGATTTAAAAGCTTTGCTGCATGGTACCTCATAATAGGCATATAGCACTCAGGTGGTTGGATTACATGAGCTGTTGTCTCAACAGTAGTGACCAAACCACATTTGTCATATGTTCTCCCAGAATATGATACTGACTCTATGATCAATGTGTCTCTGTTCATGCTCATGAATAGGAGTGGTGAGCTGTTAGAAAGAACATGTACCACTGGTGATAGGCCAGGAGCCAGTGTGATGATGCCACTTAATGGCAGCTTCAGAGACCGCCCGAATTTCGGCACCTACTGCATTTATTTGTTTGGTTGCTTTCACTCATAGGCGTGGTGATGAGAGTGAGGACTCTGCATCGAGTGATCATGAGGAGGAGTTCTACTACACGGAAAGTGAGGAGGACGATGATCTAGAGAGTGACTCTGGCAGCACCCTTCTTGGAGAGCACGGTGAATGCACGCACAATGTCTACACTTCCGCCCCTACCCTCAGCCACCTTGACATGGCAAGGCCACCACACGAGGACCCACAGTACCAGATGCTTGCTAGGGTGTGTACACATCACTCTCTCTGTTTGTGCTTCCTGTAATGGGGAGTCGTGCTGCCATAAATGTAAAGCTGGAGTGTTTTCGGCAAAATGTACACTTTGGCATCTTTCACTAATTAGAAAGCAGGTTAATGCTATGTAGCACAGGAGCACTGCAGTTTCATATGAACATAGACTGCGAGGCAAAGGGGAGCATATTTTTCTTATTTTCTCCATGATGTGACTTTCTTCACACCGTACCCTCTAATGCTGGAAATGTAATCATGGTTAGGACTTCACGTATTCAACTGACACGCCTTTACATAGCTTCATTTCCTGAACATAGTTCACTGTTCAACTAAATAAGCTTTGCAATGGTGGCATTACTCTTTATTTATGTTTGTTGATGTGCCTGAGCAAGTTACAGACGAAATGTGTCTTTCAGGTATAGCTGCTTTTCTTTTGTGACAAAGGTGGCCAAGCAGTTGGCATTCCTGGGCAATGCACCTCTTTTTATTGATAAATAAAAAAATGAACAAGAAGCCTTTTTATTTATAGAGAGAAATCCTCTCGAGTTAACGAATGCATAAATTGTACGCATGAAGATTCTATAGTTGCGGAGGGACAGGAAGAGCTTATTTTCCTGCTCGAAATGTAGCACAGTGTATGTGCCAAAGTACTGACATTGCACAAACTATATTTGTCTTTTAGAGTGCTGTTCCTGCATCCCCGCCCAACCTGTCATCAGCATCACCTATCAACATTCCCACAGTGCAGCGGTCTTTCTCATGGCAGCCACACGCCAGTGCACCAACAGCTATGGTCTGTTTTGCAGCTACTCCCATCTCACCCTCCTCATTCCTTAAAGCGACGCTAAAGAGAAACAATCACTGGGTTTAGATTAAACAGACTGTGCTCTGAGAACTCTGTCACAAGTTTCACTATCATAATTTCATTATTGGTGGATAAAAGCGAGGTTGAAATTTAATTTTTAAATGTCGCGCTGAAATCTTCGCTTGATGAAATCTGTTTTTCATATTTTCCTGACAGGTGCTTGGTGAAATTTTCTTGAAATTTGCATGTTATGTCTATGGCACCCACACATGACAATGTACTTTAATTTTACCGATAAAGTATGTAGAACTCAGCAGACACCATCAAAAATCTATGATCACGGTGTTTGGTGCATGAATCTCAATCAAGGTGGCGTCTTCACCCGCATTTTCTTTTCACAAATTTGCTTGCTTACCAAGCGTCATCTTGTGGCAAGAGTGGGGTTTCTGAAACTGTGAAATTGCACTGTGCTGATATGTAAATAATCATTTTTCTCTTAAGTTTCCCTTTAAAAATGTTACTTTCTTTTGCCTGTGGTTGAGCGTTTGATTCATGTTTTGTAGCTACACCCGCAGCTTGTGGCGGAAGTTACCGTTATCAGGGCTTATCACCAGAGTTCAGTTCCGTTTCGTTTTCTTCTCTCGTCAAAATTGTCTTCGTTTCAACCATACATACCCGCAATAAGTCATTGACAAATATGTGAAAAATAACATCATCAGTGTCATATGTAATTTTTTTAATATGCGTGCATCTCTAAAGGTTTCAACGATAGTTCCAAAACACTTGCTGTGGCTTAGTATGTGTTAATTGTGTTGTTCTGGCTGTGCTTAGCAGGTCTTTGTCTCAGGACACTGTCCACTTACAGAGTTGCATTTTGAAACTATGTAGCGGACATCCGGAATACACGAGTGCGCTTGAATAAACTAACACCTTGCGTCTCCTTCCACTTGATCGACCCTTCTTCATTTTAGTTTTGGCTTACAGACGTGAGAATTTTTTTAGTTACACTTGCGAAATGCCAAATGTGTTTGATGTGTATAGCCACCCTTTTCTTCTGGTTGACTGTGCAAGCATAGATTTGCACTGTACAAGTGCAAACATTTAGAACTTAGTGTCAGCAAACAAAAGAAGTAATTTAAAATGCGAACACAAAAACAGTGGTACTATTATTATTTTTTTTTGCTGTTCTATGTGCCTTTATTCTTCAATCTAAGTTCAATTCTTTAGGGATGTGGTCAAACATACTGCTCTAATATGAGAATTGCTGTAAAGTAGGTGTTGTTGGCTCAAGTTATTTTCACTGCAGGAACAAAGCTCTAACAGACAGGACATGGCAGGCAGACAAAACTTCTAATTAAATTTTTTCTCATTAAAATGTTTAATGAAAAACCTACATTTGTAGCAACCAAGAAATGACATACAACCACGTCCACAAACTTAACATTAAAGACTACCAGATATAAAAACAGACAACTAAAATGTACGAAATGTCTTGATATTCTTCATTTGACTGCGTTTTTTTTTTCTGAATTCATCTGTGAAAATTTTTTTCCTTACTGCTCACAAACTCGCCTTAATTTGAAGTTCTTTTCACGCATAACATAGAGATGTGCTTTGATTCATCAAAGGGCATTATAAACAGGGCAAAATTTAGTTGGGAAAAATAGACAGGAGGGCCCACACCATGGTTGTTGCTCTGCTTTGAGTAAATGAGAAAGGGCAATAAGATGGAGTGGGGGGAATGAAGATAAGGATATGCAGCCATACATATATTCATGTTTGAAGGGCCCACTTGGAGCGTTAAATACAAAAAATATACTATAACATGGAGTCCCGTATGTGAATACAGGGAGCATTTACCAGGCAGTTCAGTGACTTTGCAAGCTTTGTCTTTTACAAAAAGCCAAGGCATTATTTCAGAGCCATGTACCTTTTAGCTTATTACTGTCCGTCAGACCGATTCCTACTCGGGAACTTGTCCCCCTCCCCCCTTTTTTTTTTGTGCGCAGGTTTCGCCACAAAAGTTCATGCGCCTGAGCCCCAAGACCCTGTCAGCCTCACCAAAAAGCTCGCCACTTCACCGGAGAGTCCGTTCGGAAAGCCGCAAGTGCCGCAAGGTCCACGGCATGGAGAACAAGGACATGTGGTGTACCCAGTGCAAGTGGAAAAAGGCCTGCAGCCGCTACGTCGACTGAGGCCTTTCACTCCTCTCTTCTTTCTTTTTGTTTTTACCACTACTCACAAGTTGTGTGCAACCACCATCATAATCATGGTGCGTCCAAACTTGTTCATCTCCTCACAGTTTATGTTATTGCATTAAGTTGCGCTGCAGGCTGCTTATCGACAGGCTCTATCGTGATGCAAGATCACACGTAGACAACTTGCCTTGATTCAACGTGCATAACCTTTGCATGCTAGCATGGAGACATGTCTATCCAAAGAGGATGATTTAAGATGCCTTGTTTGAAAAGCTTGCTTCCCTGAATGTTGAATTCTCTTCGCATCCTTAACCTATGACAAATATTTTAGTCACCTGAACTGTATCCAGTCATGCCGTCATTGTGAAAATTTTTTTAGCAAAAACATATGATCAGACAGAAGCCAGATGAAGTTAGTTCAAAGGGTACGATTCGTTATTTGTAAACAGTGAAGAATGGGCATATAGAATGTTACGGCTGTGAGAAAAGTTTAAGAGGCCTGACGAGGCTGAGTTTATATGAAAGCTAATATGTATTTGACAAAAACACGGCTGCTGAATACGATTAATGAGAAATTCCTCCTTTCAGTTTAGACATCAGGAGGAAAGCTTGTTATATATAGTGTGGTGGTGGCAAATTTTGCTTTTGCCAATTTATTTGTACAAAGTGCATAGCCTGCAGTACTGTACATAGCGTTTTCTTAGCATGTTTACTATGTGGTCATTATCAACGACACATTTATCTATTTTACTATTCCCCCCAACGACCACTGTTTCACCGTCAAAAAAAAATGTTCAGAGATGCCACCGACCTGTTTTTTTGCAGTTGATATCTCATGCATGCTGTAAAAACTGGTTCACAGCTGCCTAGATCGCTTGCAGTGAACGGTTGGTCGACTGAAATTGTTTCAATGTTGCTAGCAGTGCTCATACAGTGTACCTCAAATAAGCTCTGTTACATTTAGCTTCCTTGAAGTTGTAACACGAGCTAGCTGGGAAACATCCTATCACTGCAGACTGAGTTCAGTTGAAGCTGCATTCGTCAAACTTTAAGTGTATTTATATTGCAGCTGATGATGGCCTGTACGTCCCAGGCAATACTGAAGCGGTTGAGTTGAAATTTGTTGAGTTCAGTTGAAGCTGCATTCGTCAAAACTTTAAGTGTATTTATATTGCAGCTGATGATGGCCTGCACGTCCCAGGCAATACTGAAGCGGTTGAGTTGAAATTTGTTTCGTCAACATTGTTTGTTGAGATGAGATGAGTTTATTGCGCTCACACACTTTCTCTTGCTTGCAATTTGTCTCACTTGTGCCTTGCAGTATACAGTGTCTGGAAGCAGAAGGTGACCTTGAGTATACAGTCGCATAAAGCACAGGCACTTGTGAAGCAAATGAAAACAAAAGCCAGATTCAACAATAATCACTCAACGACTTGCAGTGGGCTCTTGGAGATTATTAGAGATATCCAGCATAGCAGAGACATGATCACACTGATGCGTACTGCAATAGCGAAGGACACGTTCGACAACAGCAGCACTGATGACATCATCTTGTAACGCCGTAGCAACACACCAAACACTCTTAAAATGTTCTTCTGCTCTACAAGTCTCTTAGAAGGTAACGCACAAATTATGTGATGATGACATTGTTAGCAATACAAGCAAAAGCAGGTCGACGTGTTGGTGTGATACAGCATGTAGGGACACTGCTGCTGCATAGCTGAAACAGTGCTCTTGCAGCTGTTAAGCAGCCTTGTAATGCTGACACAGTGTGGAGCATTGTCGTTGGCATTTCGGGCGTGTGGTACCTTGCTGTTGTGTGTGATGAGACTCGCGTAACAGTGTTGGTGTTTGTGACTGTGTCTTCTGCTCAGACCACTATACGCACAAAGGAGAGCTCTACAGCATAAACACTCATTTTTGCACGCACAACACTCATGCCACAAAGGCTGTGCATGCCTTGGAAATGCTGTGGCAGCGTTCACAAAATGACGGTGTCATAAGAAAATGCCACCAATGCTGCTTTTTTTTGTCCGAGTATTTAACTACTCTTAACATATGTTTATGTACGCTAGTGCATGTTTCTGTTATGGTAAATTTAAGCTGAACTGTCGACATGTTTGACTGAGGAGAGTAGAAGTCAAGGTTTATGTCAGGCTAACTTCAAGAAGCTAGTGTAATTTGGTGCACAGTTATGAAATAGCAGTCTTGAATTCCTCGCACAAGCCTCCACTGTGCTCAAGGCTTGTGGGTGTTGGATAGGCATTTGAATGCCACTTAGTTAACAAGCATCATCATCTTGTGCCACAAGAAACAAGTTTTTAATTATTTCTCCATACCACTCAGAATTCTCATTTTGCTGCAGAGGCTGAAAAAAAAAGCATGCCAGCTGCCTCGTGGGGCAAATCAGAAGCTAAGGTGAAATGCAGTCAACTCAGTAGAGTAGGTGAAAGCTACCTAAGTGTGCCAATAGCGTCTGATCAGAAGTACTGTGAAATCCTTGAGCACATTTGCTACCATGAGGAGCTGGCAAGGCATTGTTGGATGGCCTGACAAAGCTTACACCAGGTGCAACCCCATCTCCAGAGCTGTTAAAGCTTAGAATCAAATACTGCCTAAAAGCCATGTAGAGAAAAACATTGTCGTTTTCCTTGTTGCATTGCCATGTTTGTCTCGTCACACATGATAACTACTGCTCTAAATTCTCCACAATGAATAGCAGTCATATTTTGATGGCAACTGCATGTATACATTCCAACCAGAATTAGATTGGGGTCATCACACACATTGAAATAGCCACATTTAAATGAGGAAATATTGATATTCTAAGTATTGATTGGTTAATATGTGGGGTTTAACGTACCAAAACCACCATATGATTATGAGAGACGTCGTAGTGGAGCACTCCGGAAATTTCGACCACCTGGGGTTCTTTAACATGCACCAAAATCTGAGCACACGGGCCTACAGTATTTTTGCCTCCATCGAAAATGCAGCCACCGTAACCGGGATTCGATCTCACGACTTGCGAGTCAGTAGCCGAGTACCTTAGCCAGTATACCACTGCAGCGGGGCGATGTTCCAGGTATGGTAGTGTGGTCATAGGTGCAAGGTGTCATTATTGAAAACAGATAGACTTCTTTCATTGCGCATTACAAACTTTTCAATGGCAACACGCATACAACCAACGAGTCCGTTTGTTGGCACACTTGTCTTACACAATATACATTGCTTGGTATTCTTGCTAGGCTCTGTCCAGGTCATCTAGAGCTGATGCAGTGTTGCCATGTGTAGTAGAGCTGTAGCAACTTGGCAGGGTCACTGGGACTGAAGTGTGCCTTGTCTAGCAGCAAAACAGCCAACAGCAATCGTAACCCCAGAACAATAGCTGTGGGTTGACAAAACACTTGGAATCTCGGGTGCATGCCACTCCTTTAGCCGAGTGTGCGACACCCTGCCTCGCAGTCCATCAGAACGCCATCCGACATGCCACTTAACATATTGCTCAAGTGTTCCATTGTATCTAAATTTGCCCAATGAGTGTACAAGAAGGGCTTGCTATCATTCTTCACGGAAAAAAAATACTGCTCATCAATAAGTGAACTTTTAACACGTGTGCCATAACACATCTATGCAGAAAGCTGCAACTCCCTTATGTTGCACAGTCATCCGATATTAATAAGTCAAAGCACTCTGCCTAATTTCTAGTTCATTCATTTTGAAACATTGAGCAGTAAAGCAGCTGATAAGTCAAACGCTGAATTTTATTTTAACAGCACATGTAAGACCTGTACTTAAACAGAGAAATCGACAAAAATGAACAGCTTTTTATTTGCCACTGCAGTCTGCCCTACTCCTGTCAAACTTTTTACAGCGAGAGCTGTTATGAGACTACAAATCGGGTCATGCGCAGTTGTCTGCCGCCACTGCCGCCGGCGTCCGTAACCACATCGCGCGAAATTAGAAAAAAAAAAAACTTAGCTCCAATGACACAGGGGGGCTCGAACCCGGGTTCACTGGATGCCAGCCCAGTGTTCTACCCCTAAGCTACGCTGGTGCTTTCGACTTGTTGGCAAACTTGCCTTAGGCAGGCTTGATGTCAGGAAAGCAATCGCGTTAATACGACTTAAAGCGTTCTAAAACAGCGAAAGGACAACCAGTCGCACAATGCGCATAGCGTGACGAATGGGTCGTCCAATGCTCCAACCCATTACAAAGGCTTGTTCTTGTTCCCCTATTAACTGTGGTGCATACCAACTTCAGCCACAATTCCTCGTCGTTATCAGCCACTGCATGAACAATTGGCATTAATTTCCTTGCAAGTATTTAGCAGATACCAGGCTTCTCAGAAGAATGACGATAAATAGCATAGCGAATGCTGGCCTACTACCCAAGAAATTTATTATTAATGCTCTAGTGGGTGTCAAGCAAGTGCGCTTGCAGTAGTTTCCCAATCAGTGTTTGGAAAAGGCTCTGAAAGACTGCTCTTCTAGCTTTCGCTGTGACTGTGCTGCGCATTCCACGCAGGCCTGGCGTTTCTTTTCTTTTTTTTTTTTTTTCAGGGTAGATTGCTACGGCAAAGACAACTGTTCAAAGGCTGCCTATGCCTACCTAGTAGTAGTATTAACCACAGCATTATTTTTAATGGATCATTGGTGATGGCAGCACTAACATAACCTAACCTAACTAAGTGCCGCTGCACATCACACCCAGCTTCATTTTGCTGGTGAAATTTTCATAGAAATAAATTTAATGAATCAAAACAAATGCTGCTGCATTCACATGTCATGGCCACTGACAAAACATGTTTGCAAATTGTGTCTGCCAACTTGTTACTCGTTGCGACAGTGCCCCTACTGGAACGTCCTCGTGTTACGCTACAAAACACGTAAAACATAGCGGTGCAGTTCATTATCTTGCGTTTTAAAAGTCTTTCATACCAAAAGAGCTAGCCCGGAAACTTGAACAGTATGTGGCAGGGTTGTCACTACTGACATGACTGGTGGCATTCTGATGTGCTGTGACTGCATGCCGAATGGTCTCACAGAAGGTGTCATAGTGTGTGTCTGTGTTGTCCTGTGCCTCAGTGTGTACGTACCAGAGAACTGCTGTTGAAAGGGATGAAGATGACCGGTGCCAGATTTGTAGGGTTAGTTCACCAGTAAGTTGGACAGTCGCGTGGAGCTGATTAATCAATTGCTGTCTTGATGTGATCACGCGGCAATGTCTGATGCACGCAGCAGGTGTGGAACTAGTGCTGATCGCGGATGCATCCTGTTAGTACATGTAATATGCCTCGATGCATCAGAAGGAGGGAGCTGTTGACTGACACAAGCAGCATGGTTTTTAACTCTGCCAAAAACATTAGTATGCAAGCAAATGTCGTTACGTTAGACCGTGGAATTAGAGCACATATGCATTGCTGACCAATTATTCTTAGCAGCATTTCTGCTTTGCTTAATCTTTTGGGATCCCAAAGCCGAACTGAGCTCTTTCGTGCAGTTTCTGCCAATATTACTGGGAATAAAAAACACCTGCTGAGGCCTATTCAGATGTCTCAATCTTCTGGGCATAGAATTGGGTATGCCAAAATTAAACCTGAAAACTAGACAACAGAAATACCCATCTTGACTCTTTGTAGGGTATATATACTGCAAATTTTTCAATGTGTGATGCATTGTTCTTGCAACAGTTCGTAGCTTTGTGCAGTCAGCAGCTGCCGCACTTCATTGAGACCCACTCTGAAACACTTTGCATGACTTAGAAGCATGCAATTTGACATCTTTGCAATACCTCCACGACTTTTGTCATGCAAACTGTTTGTTGATTGCAAGCTTGCAAATTTTTTTTTGCTGTGCTGAAAACTGGAAGGGCAAGTCGGGATGCTTAGTTCTTGATCTGAGCACAGATTTGTTCTTGTTGGTCCTGACAGAATGAGCTGTTTTAGAGTGGAAACTGTTGTAGTGGTCTGTTCGCATGGCCAGCCGTGGTGCGTCAGACAAATGTTGCATGACAACATGCGATAATTATGTGTTGGTTGCCATGATAGAAGCATAAAACAGGTAAAAAGTAGCTTCTACCATCAGTGGGGCAAAATACATGGTGCCTTGAAAAGGTTACAGAAAAAAAAAAGGATTTGTTATTGGAACGGCACTGTGCTATATTTCTGTATATAGCTGCAATATTGATGTTGTTGAAGTGCATATTTTATGACAAAGTGTACACATAAATGTTCTGTCGTAACAGCAGGCAGTCACAGATGTTTCTTTTTATATATATGCATATAAATGTGTGCTGGATGTCCGAAGAGCAAAAAGAAATCTTTTTGTATCTTGAATAAGATATATATCTATATACAAACTAATGTTCATAATGTACATAGTACTGTTCTTCGTAGTATTTCACGAGTCTGTGAAGAGTAAATAAAGTAAAAGGAAAAGCTGCTTGTAAATTATGTAAAAAAGATCAAACATAAATTATTCAATACAAAAAAAATGGAACCCAACCAAACATACAGGAAAGCCCAGTGGTACTTTGAGTAAAATCCAGTCAGAGAAATGTGTACTTATGAGGTGTACATAATTATGTTTTACTCGAGCCCATGTCCTGCCTTGTACATATACTTTTAGAGAATATATATTCAGCTGCGTAGAGGAACATGGTTGGCACAGCAATTCCGATCTCCAGGAGTCAGGCCTGCTAATAGAGATGGCTATGATACTGATGCATGTCAAATATGCAATTTTTCCCAAGTTTTCAGTGCTCAAGAGATGAATAAGCTTTCCAAGTAGAAGTACCAGTTTTCTGTGACTTTTAATCATTCTCAATTCTTGGAGAGTGCCTGCGTTCAATCCTTCTTGGACAATAAATTAAGATACAAAGGCCATGCAACCATTATTGCAGGGTGGGGCATGGCAACAAGGTCTGTAGTACCATTTACTTTAATGTGTAACTCGAGCAGTTCAGAGAAGGATGCCCATTATTAAATAAAATAAAAACGTGCTGATTCGTGTTAGAGCCACAACTTGTACAACTATGCACTCATCCCAAGAATGTTACCTGTGCTGTCAGCAGCCCAGTTCTAAGCTTGACTGGTGCAGTGTTCTTGACGCTGTACGTTAAGAGTATTTTGGCTGGAGTGTTTTGGTCCAGTTTTAGCTCTACTCAACCTATAGACATCAGCTGTTGATAATAGTTCACTCCACTCAGATGAAAAAGTCAAGCTCTCGTTTAGAACAAATCGATAGGGGAATATGCATTGGCAAGCATGATCAGCTTGACTGCAAAGCTATAGACACCAACGCACACTGGTTCTGTATGGCCAATGTGAGAGCAAAGCGGGAGTTATTATCGATGTTACTAGATTGCTTGGTCAGTCTTCAGACAGCATCTTTCACAACTACTGTCCTTCTTGTGCTGCATGCATCCAACTGGATGATGTCGCTGCCCGCAGTCGTGTAATAGAGTAGCCGTATGGAGCTTGATCTCCAAGATCAGCAATCGATAAGACTCACTACCATTGTTAACTAATGTGCACTTCAAAATTTGCTAAATTAGCATAAAAAGCACTACAAAAGCTCACAAACAGTATAGTATTTAATTGACTGATGCAGCTAATTCAGAAGCACTTTATATACATACAAATTACTTTATTAACATGAGAAAATGGACACCAACATATTCAAGTAATTAAAGTATTGAAACGTCCTCCAAATTAGTGGGACAAGCAAAAGATCCCGCTTAGGTGACGGCCTGGAGTTCTCGACCCCTGCTTTCCGCTTTGTGAGCACTTTGCTCTTACTCCATTACATAACTTAGCAGCCAGAAGAGGTACACGACTGGCCACAGGGCCAATAATGCCCAGCCAAAACACTCTATTGATGACTGTTTTTGAGAACCGACAGCTTATACGAGTGGGCATAGAAAGCTTATTATGCCATTCTTAAAGAGACACTAAAGAGCAAAAAGATTTTTTACACATTAGTAAAGTACACTTTTACAAACTTGAAAACACTGCTCTTACTGTGACACGATGCTTGCCAAGCGAGAAAACGTGCAATAAGAAAATGCAGGTGAAGAGGCCACCTTGAGACTCTCGCACCAAACACCGAGACGTCATAAAATTTGAAGGCACTTACTGGGTCCTATGTAGTTTCTAATCGATAAAAATGAAGTACATTTTCACCTGTGAGTGCCACAGACCTTGAATATAAAGTTTCAGAAAATTTAATTAAGCCGATGTCACGAAAACACCAAAAATGAATTTTGAAATTTCTGAAGACACGCACGGATATTTCAGCACTAAATCTAAAAATCAAACTTTGACCTTGATTTTCTACACAAATAATAAACTTATAGTGAAACATGTGGCATTAGAGTTGCCAGAGTGCAGTTTGACAAATAAAACCAAGTCACTGTTTCTCTTTAGTGTCCCTTTAATTGTAAACTTGAAGTTGGCAAGGGATATGGTGAGAAAAGAAATCTATGGAGAAGGGTTGCTAGGTGAACATTTTACGCACAATAGAAGACGACTCCCAGTATATATATGCCAATGCAGGTGTTCTGCCAAGCACCAAGATTCTTTTGCAGGTCTCATAAATTGTTTTCAAATGGCAGTTTATCCATCAGCATTATTTGAAAAGCAACTAGTAACATTAACATTTACTGTGTCATGATTGCACTGTTTTTCCACCTTAATTTACAAGGGGGGGGGGGGAAAGGCAAAAATATAGTGCCCCTGCTCATGCAATTGCAGTGTTAGCTCCTGACGAATTTTGGTGCAGGCAGCAAGCGCAATATACAGCTTAGGCTGCTACCGGAAATGTTGTAGTGAGTAATGGAGGGCTTTGACATGTTTTTTCTGATTGGCCCTTGGCTTCAACACGAGAAGTGTCGCTGTTTGAGGTACAAGCCCAAGCTCAAAGGAATGGAAATAGAAAAGTCTTGATGCAATGTGTTCTCCAAGCGTGCCACATCATATGGCTCCCCCCCACCTACATGTTTTGAGTCTATAAATTAATGATGATGTTATTTTGTTGTTATTCTCCACAATTCTATGTTGCACCCCCTGTTAAGCCTGCCTGCTTGCTTCATCTTGCACTATATTATGAAACGGTAAATGTGTAGTGGCAATACCTTGTCTAGTACTGGAGATGTTTCTTCGAGTATCTTTGTGCACAGAGTGTCATTACATACTCCTTGCATGTCGTTGACCCAATGCTATGTGCAAGAAAAACTGTACATAAAAAACATTATCACCTGTTTCTCCCATCTTCTTGTTTTGCTGTATCTTAAAATGAAAAAGTATGTGTTTCAACCTAATTTTTTTCTTCTCTTGAAGTTTAAATAAATGTCTTCTTAAATATACTGACAACAGCGGTGTGGTCTGTTTCATACCAATGTACTTCACCAGCATATCCTGCAACAAGAACTGTGGGCAATTTACAAACGCTATTGCGTGTAAGTGCTGTGTCGGCCTTTACAAAAGGAATAGAATATTTGTGTTCCACCAAGACTAATTACTGCACTACACTTCCAAGTACAACCACTCTAGCAGGTGTCAACAAGGTATGTATGTTCAAACTCCTATGTTCACTGAAATCTGATCAGGTGTTTAATGAAGATCAGTAGTAGCCACTTACATGGCATTGCCAGGAACTAGGAAAACACAGAGCTAGAAATGAAAGGCTACAGTGGAAGGCCATGGCCAGTCCATTTTTAACAGCAATAATTAACCAGCAGCAAGACTGCAATGCCGCTTTTGTTTAACAAACATCTGTAATGGAGCAGAAACACCTGGTATGTCACTGCAAAACAAGTATAAAAAACATGGCAATACATTTTCTACAATGGCATGGCAATATATAGGGCCATACTAGCGCTTGTGTAGTCTCACATCGGTAAGGCATTTGACATTTCAAAGCTGGCCTGATGTTTTTGATGCCACATGAGCCATTCAACATACTGCTACAACACTGTAGGCTCCACAAAGAGCTACTGGAAGCACAGAATATTGTGTAGAAACCATCAACAAGGACTGCAAAGCTAAATGCTTTGAGAAAGCTATTCATTTACTAAAGAAATAATGCACTTGGAAGCATATATTTGCTACAGTGAAGGCATCGGATAATGCTCGCTGTTTCATATTTTATTTCAATAAAGAACGTCACTTATGCATACTATTGGGACCAAAATGATGTCTTATAGCATATGGAGGTATCTATCGTAGGCTACACTCGTAGGCTACACACACGCCAGCAAAATAACCAATGGACTTGTTTCACATCAAGCTTGTCAAAGAACAGTTTATCGCATACCCACAAAAAATTTCAATAATGAATAGTCTTAAGCTCCCATTGTATCCTCCTCATTGCCACTGGAGCCACGCCGCGGTGGTCTAGTGGCTAAGGTACTTGGCTGCTGACCCGCAGGTTGCGGGATCGAATCCCGGCTGCCGCGGCTGCATTTCTGATGGAGGCGGAAATGTTGTAGGCCCGTGTGCTCAGATTTGGGTGCACGTTAAAGAACTCCAGGTGGTCGAAATTTCCGAAGCCCTCCACTACGGCGTCTCTCATAATCATATGGTGGTTTTGGGACGTTAAACTCCACATTTCAATCAATCAATCAATCGTCACTGGAGATAATCATATTTCTTGTACAATAGAGGACTAATGGCAGAAAAATCTATGCACATGTGTGTGAGGAGCCCCCCCTTTTCTTTGTAATGTTGGAATTTGTGAAACAAAGGTTTCCAACACTCTGAACATTAATTTAAGTGGTAAACAACCACAGGACATCACTTTGCAAAAATTATCACAGAAAAACAGATGCCCTACTAAATGATAGCATTTCCAGGATACTCGTCAGATATGCAACATTACACCTTTCACGTTGACACCAACAAGGGAAATGCAAGAACTTCGGTAGGTACCTTGGTGAAGGGCTCGTCTTCTGCAGCGAAGCACCACAATAGCCAGCCTATCATTCCAAAACAGTAGGGCAACCCTGTTACTCTAGATGGCAACATTTACATCAGAACTGTGCCTGTGAACACTGCAGCAACGAAAAACATCGACATGTTCATTGTGACTGTCCAGAATGCACTACCAAGAAACGATTTCATAGTCAGGCCTTCAAGAAGTTAGAGGACCAGCCTCTATCAGAGGAAACACTATTACACCATCGTCCAGACCTAAAATCGCAGAAGAAGCCAACTATGAGCGCCTTAAAGAGCTCATAGGCTTTGTGTAATCTACTCACCTATTGAAACTAATTTATGTGAAACTCGCTCATGTGCGTGTTATGTGTGCAGCTGCAAGCTTTTTCTTTCTTTTTTGTATTTTTCTCCTCTGTCCCTTTCAAACCACTATTCTTGGGCAGCCCCAGTGCAGAGTAGCATACTACATACTACCTTCTGGTTAACCTCCCTGCCTTCCGCTTCATTTATTATCTCTATTTTTCTTCTAACCACATTGGGATACTCCAGTTAACAAACAATACTGACAGCCCAATCACAAGTAAGGTGCTTTCAAGAAGCTTAGAATCTCACCCATAAACTTAGTCAAAAAACAATGCTTTAAAACTAAAATGGGTAGCTCATTCGTTTAACCGGTACGATGATGAAACGACTTTCTCTGTTATAATGTAAATGTATATGAGGTGCTTACGCCCAGAATCCGCAAAATAATTACACCATCATAAAAGTTTTTCATTCGTTGTGATTTCTCCTATGAATCCATAACCTTTTGCGTATATCTGTGAGGTAGTCATTTGTCTATTGTATAAAAAACAAACTATGTCTTCCTTATCATGTAAATAAATAATGAACCTGCAAAAAAAGTAACAGCATCTTTAGAATTAGGACAAGGATGCTAATTCTTATCAAATTTGGGAAAAACAGGTAAGGGGAGTTTCCGTTTATTTATTTCACATTTCCTTTTTACAGGAAAAAAAAAGCAAGGGCAAGGAACAAAAAGCTGCAAAACAGCAGCTTAACGAGGTTCTTGCCCCCTTGGTTTGGTGACAAAACATACACAATAAAAATAGAGGGGAAAAATACATATTCACATGTTTTTATGCCCACATATCCATATATATATACACCATCTGAACACTTTCCCATTTATACCCCATGTGCCCCTTTGGGAGGCTAGAGCCTAGGACGCAGCTTGTGCTCAAGGCATCCTGGGATAAGAAAGTCTAACCTGGGGGGCAATTGCAGAACAATTCTATTCCTTTGTGCTATAGGTTTTGCCGCCACTAGCCATCTACGATTGGTTGAAGCGCGCGCGAGGTGCACTTAGACCATTCGCAGACGGCTAATGCTGGCGGAAATCATTGAATGAAGGAATAGAATCTTTTCCCCCCAAGCTCTCTTCTCACAGATGTATTTATTCTCTCTCCTCATCAGTGTTTGCCATTACCACATTGTTGAAGAGCCAGGTTTGTTGCTTCATTTGCCAGCTCAGGAAGGTTGCAAGCAGGGTACGATGTCACGAAGGGTAAGGTTCATTCAAAAGCATGATTTGTGAAAGAGAACATATTCCAAAAATTTGATTTAAGATCATTGATATTGAAAAATCACTGGAGTTCCCCTTAACAAGTAAAAAACAGGGATATAGTATCTCAAGTGGGCATAGCTTTAACATGTGCTGTAATAAGTAGGAGCTAAATTAGTGAAAGCTAATTATTCACCTATGCATTACATTTTTCCTGCAAGTGACTGAGTAGTTTTACCCACTGAGCGATTCACTGATGGCCTACCTGGCACAAGCAATTAAAGAAATCTTCCTATCAGCAGTCAGTTGAGCTAACACACCAAAAGCTGTCATTAATTCCCATTCTCGGTGGTTGTCAATAATTTTGGCAAATGTAGCGACAAACATATACTGAAAGAAGCATGCAAGAAATGACCTTGCCAACAATTATTAGAGCTGCCAAACACATCAAGTGTAGCACTCCTCGCCAGCACAAAAGTCCTCAGTAGTATACTTCTGCTTCAAGAGGACCAAGGCATGTATGACACAGACACGTAAATCTTTTGTACAATGCCTTTAATAAAACTGGTATGATACATTACAGCTACTTCTTATCTCTATACCCTCTTCTATATACAGAGAATACAAAACAAGAAAACAAAGAATTTTATATGAAGTGTTAGACATGAGCTCGAGCATGAAATTCAGTTGGCTGATACCAAGTGTGTCGAGTTCCTGCACCACCACCACCATACTGCTTGATGGAGCTTTAGTTTCAAGGCGTTCAGGGCCGGTCTTTCTCTTTTCTTCTGCTTTATTTGGTTCCCACAACTATGACCACATGAAGAATGTTGAAGCAACAACATGGCTTTTGCTAATCACCACACAAGTGCACTGCGATTTTGTAATCAGTCTTGGCACATGAAGAGGGGAAAAAATGTTGTGAAGAGTTGTTGCATTATTTAAGAAATCCATTTCGGAGGTGCTTAATACGTCGGCCGATTTACAAGTGCGAGAGGAGCGCACCCTGTCTTTTCATGTCAGTCGATGATGTCAAAATGTGGCCTGAAATGTGTCATCCGCACCATTTAGAAGCACAGCAACAATAAGATGTAGTCTAGAATGAGCACCAAGGACACAGACATGTGGTGGCAGTTGCAAGTGTAAAGAAGATGACAGAGAAGGAGAGGAAAGTTCAAGAAAAAGCATCAAATGTCAACATTCCATATTGTGATCTTTGCTGTTAGGAAAGAATGGTGGCCGTTACAAAGGATGCAAAACTTTGCCTACGAAGGGAACTCGAACACAGCTGAAACGGCAGAAGTATCACGCCAAAAGAGACAGCAGTAGACAAACATGTGGTGGATCACTTTTTTTTTTTTTTCATCACAACATTTAAGTGCACCTAAAAGGGGAATGTTTCAAACACGAGGGAACAGTCCACATTGTTATAGTGCCAAAACAAGTACAGCTTTGAAAACTGAAGCACTAGAACAACATTACGAAGCGTTAGTCCCGTAAGAATGCAGCGAGTAATAGAAAAAAAAAGAGCTCCACGTTCAATGAATGCGAAATGCAACCTCAACCACATCCAAAAAAAAAGGGTAGTCACTAAGTGCAACCACATAAAATGAAGACTTGCAAGTGCCAGAGAGCATCACGCAGGAGGTACAATTGTTTTTCACTGCCCGCAGTGTTGTACAGGATCGTGTGATGTCAGGTGCATTGCCCTCCGGTTTTAAAAGGAAGATTTGACCAATTTCACTTTTGAAGCACTTTTTTGTGGTCACTATCCTTACAGGTTAAGGTAAAATGAAAAGAAACGATAGATTCTTGGTGTCACGCTGCTCACTAAAGTGGTAACACGTAACAAAAAGGTTGCTTCTTAAATGAAAAGGTCACGCACTCTAGTTATTGCGCTTAAAAATTTAATAATAAAACTGAACTATGCCAAGCACGAAACTCTCGTTTCAAGCATTGTGCGTGCCAAAGGGCCCACGCTACAGCTCAGCAGATAAATTAATTAAAAGGGGAGGATGGAGACTGCCAGCGTTTAATGATGAATAAATAGTCACACTGTGAGGTATAAAACGCTTGGAGATAGGAGTGAAAATAGAACAACGAGTGCCGAGAAACCTGGCAGAAAGATGTGAGAAGGTCGGGGCATAGCTAGAGAAATAACCCGCTCACAGAAATGGAGATAAAAACCACTCATGCATAGAGCTTACAAGTTCATTGTTGGTTTGATCAACCCCAAACATCATCAAACAACAATAGCGTACACTAGTGCTTGCACAGCACGCAAAAGAATAACAATTTTATTACCGAGCTAGTGGTAGAATTTAGCTATCAGACTATAAAATTGCTTGTGTACTTTGTCATGCAAATCAGTAACAAGTCATTCAATAGAAAGAATGAAGAAAAGGTATAACCTTGTAACACTGGCATAGGGAAGAGTACAACTGGTGTCCCTTTCATCACTTAAGCAGGTCATGTTGCTAACTTGTCTTTGGCCTGCTTTCCTTGCTCTGGCTGTGTTCCAATTCTTGGACAGCATCATAGACAGTTTACGCAGACAGCTTAGAAGACAGCACCGAGCCCATGCTGTCCAAGAAATGGAACACGTCTGGACGGCTTCTACTTGACAAGGCGCCACCTCGTGCCGAGAAGAGAAAGCTAAGAGAAATGTAACTGCTGTATGTTCTGGCCGATTTTGTGTTGAAATCTAAAAAAAAAACATTAACATTACTCACATGGAGTGTCTAGAGAAGTGTCTGCTTGTGTGCAGACAGCCATTCCAGGGAGATCCAATCTATCTGAGCAATTCGCTGAGCCGCCATCCTGTTTGGAGAGCAAAGTAGCCTGCATCATATTTGTCTACGATGGGGTCTTCTAGGGGCTGTCTATTTTGCTGGCTAAGTGAGAATTTGAATGGGACTTAAGATGGTCGCCGTCCATTTAGCTGTCTATTTAGCTGTCTACGGTGAGTATTGGAACACACCCTCTGTGGACTAAAGTTCTAATCAGCATTTCATGCCAACAGCTAAAAAATTCAAAAAGGACTTAAACAATGGCGTAATCCAACAGTCTATGCAATTAGATGAACAAGCAGAGTGCAGTAACGCTTATGAAAATCTGATGAGAATGTTTTGCGATGACTGAGAATGATCAAAAATAGAAGGGGTAACATGAGGGAAAACAGCCAAGTAATAAGATTAAAAGCAAGAGGAAAAATCTGGTGGTATTCTAGAGTTCTATCCATTTCTTAATTTTGAATGTGATAGAATACCGAATCCTTTAGCCTTTCCATTCCTGTCTGCCAACAACACTTTGCCTCGGAAAACTGCAAAGTGTAGGACAGGACAGGATCATTCACAAGGGCAGCTCCCGTCTACAACGCCAGGCTGCGACGCTGCCGGGAGAGCATGAAACACAGCTGCTGAGCACATCACGAGGACAACACAAGGATAAAAAGTCTGAATAAGGAGAATTTCATTAAAATGAAGCATAGGTGCCAACACAACTGGTGAAACGGCCTGCCAAATGTATTCAGTTCACGAATTGCACGCTCCTGTTGCACCGAATGTTAGCACACCTGGCACTGGATCAATGCTGAGACCTAACTTGTGTGAATGCTAGACGACCAACCAGCCGTATGTCTGTTTTAGCAAGCAGCTAAAACAGCCAATTGCAATGCCAATAACGCATGAATAAAAATGAGAGAGCTGAATTTATGCTGGGCAAATGGCCTGCATTTAGTAATGGGGTAGCATTGACCTATACAGACCTTGCCTATACCAGCATTCCGGTAGCACAAATGACAGGTGTGCTAGGTCGCTGAAAATTTTATTGAAAATTGTAGTTGCATCGTCATGCCTAATACATCACGTGGGGTCAAATAAACAATGGCCCTTATTACTATGCAAATAGTTATATGTCTATAGAAGGCACTATAAATTATCAATGGTGCAGTAACACTCAGAACGTCTCCGCAACATGAAATAAAAACTAACAAATTACTGCGTGCAAGCAGATGTTCCAGCGAGACTATGTAATACCAACAACAAATTACCCACTGTTAAAGTGCTCAGGCTGCAGCAAAAGAATAGCCAAGTCAGGTTTACAAGCACACACTGTTCGCCCTCGTCCACACAACCAATCGGCTTGTCACGTGTGTATGAGACGGCCTAAAAGCTGCCTTGCAGTGCAAATACGCGCCTCTCGCGTTCTTAATGAAGGTGCAAACCATAACAGAAACAGGAGGGGAGGACGGAACGAATGCAAAACACACAGTGTTTCAGTTGCACACGATGAAATGATGAAGGGTGTAGGAGTTGCACTGGGAGGAGGAGCAACAGACTGCTCGGGGTATGACAACCTGGGGGCCTTCCCTCTTTCTCCCAACTGGAAGCAGACGCTTGTCGGTGCACTGGCAGTCTCATCTGCGCTTGGACCGCCTCCGTTTTTTCTTCTTGGCTAGCGCTGGGCCTGGCCCTTGATCAGACGTGGGAGAAGGAAGGTCTCCTTCATCACCGCCAGCCTCATCCTTGCAGTTCCCTGCAAAGAATGCAGCAATGTCACGTCTGGAATAGCGTCGTCTGCCATGCATCAGAACGGCAATCGAAGAAAATATATAAGATGACAGGACCACGCACGCCAAAAAGCGGTTGCATGTGTTTAAGAAATAAACACTGAAGACCCCGCGATGCTGTCCTGTTCAAAAGCCCTGCCCATTTCCTATGATAAGGCGCACTCTTCCATTTGAAAGTCGAGTGCAGCCTCGCGCGATGAGCTTGACCTGACACAACGTTGAAACAGCATATCCTCCTCACACATAAGGCAGCTCCAGAACACAATTGCTTTTTAAAGTTGTTTCTTGCTACCAAATGGTACATTACAAACGGTAAAGAATGTATGCGTTTAGGTGTCACTATTAGATTCCAGAGCCAGCATACACACATGAATGCATGAATGAATAGTGTTCTTCCTATGACGGGAGGTGTTGGGAATGCCACCCACCACTCGGCTTCGCCGCTCTGGTTCAGCTCCCTCTGCTTTGACTGAGCCCTTTGAAGTGCACTCCGAAGGAACCAATAGAGAGTTTTAGTTCAGCGCACGCAAGGCGGTACGTGGACGACTGGCGCGCTACGTACATTACAGCTGAGGCTGCTTCTTACAGTATTAGTTTAGCGTACGCGACAACATGGACTGCGCCTAAACGTCGACATCTTCACCTAGCCACTAAGCAATAAACTACAATAGCCAACTATAGCTGACACGAGTCAAGACATGAAACAAGCCAAAATTTCTCGAGCAGCTCTGCCGACTGCGGACATTCCGGGCGTTGATACACATCCCTGTCAGCTCCTGTATTTTTACAACGACAACTGTCCATTGTGCGGGGTCCGCGAACAAATTTAAGCTTCTCACGTAAGCAAGGAGCTCCAAACCGAGGGCAAAATGCACGCGAGATTCACTCGCAGCCACACTGCTACTTGTTGGTCACGGCCATCTTTTTTTTTTTTTTGCGCTCTCACCAGGGGGAGATATCGCGAAAACCAGTGATAAGGTACCCAACGACTGTAGCGTGCACAACGCAAGAGCTGAGATCTAGTGCATGCATCCCTCGCGTGCACAAATGCACGCATCTCACTTACATACAGCGCATGCGCAGCCGTGCTCCCTCGCGGACGATGTGTGTGCTATGCCGTTGGGTGCGCTAAACTAAAGCTCTCTAATAAGTGGCAACCAACAACACAAAAGGCAACCAGGCTACGCAAAAAAGAGTCTGTGGCCCTGTGCCTGAGAGATCACCGATTCCAGTGCGAATGCCCGAACACAGAGGCCCTAATTGCCTTTTCTATGTGCAAATCTGCGAGCCAAGGCATATGCATGGCAGGTGAAAGATGTGCGTCATGCCTACCAAAAATTTAAGACCAGGAACTAAATGAAGATGTGCGTTGAAAGCCAAGTCCTTGAAAATATTAAATTCCTAAACTTAACATGCCCCCATTTTACCTCCTTCTCTTGAAATATATACCCCTACCTGTTGCGGTGCTCTAGTGATTTTTTGGTGCTAAAGTGCAGACCCAAAAGTCTTGGGATCAAATTCCAACTGCGCTTTCACACTTTCGATGGAGGCGAAAATGCTGACAGCCTGTTTAATTAAATTTAGGTGCACTTTAGAGACCTCCAGGGGGTTGAAATTTCCAGAGCCCTCCACAACAGCGTCCCTTGTAATACTATGAATATTTTGCGACGTAAAACCTTCCAAATTATTAGGCTTGTACGAAGAGTGAATATTAGGTTCAAAGCAAATTCGAAGCCAATAGCTATTTCGGTAGAAGAATTTCAAATCGAATTTGAATAGTATGTATCACAGAATACAAAGCAAAATGGCCATATTTGTCCAGACTCTACAAACTATGTATATATATATATATATATATATATATATATATATATATATATATATATATATATATATATATATATATATATGTATGTATGTATGTATATATATATATTGATAGTTCGCGTTGAGCGTTGAGTCCGCGACGCGTTTATTAAAAAACGAACACAGGTCAAGCGCTCAGCGATCCGAATCAGAGCTATCTTTGAGCATGAACCACGGTCCTCTTCCTCGTCTTTTGCAGGCACTGCTAATTGCACCCTATCCATTCTACAAATCGCTCTCCCGCGGAAAAGGAGCCATCCTGGCGACCTAAGGCGCAGGTACGACTGGTCGGTCATAGTGCGGCTTCAGCCGGTCGACAAGAACAGTCTGACGGCCGCGACGGCGGCGGTCTGTGGATGACTGTACGGGCTCGACAATATAGTTTACCGGGGATGCTTGACGCAGGATGCGATAGGGGCCTTCATACTTAGGCAGCAGCTTTGAAGAAAGGCCTGGAGCTGAGAAGGCAACGCGAAGCCACACCAATGTTCCAGGCGAATATGACTGGGGATGCAGGCTGGCGTCATGGTGGTCCTTTTGGTGTGCTTGGTCTTGTGTAGTTAACGAACGTGCTATCTGCCTGCATTCTTCTGCATAGGTGGCGACTTCTGAGATAGTTGCAGACTCTGAAGTATTTGGGCGATACAACGGAATGGTATCCATAAATGAGGAGGGTTCACGGCCATATAGAAGAAAGAAGGGAGAAAATCCAGTCGTGGACTGTGTGGCGCTGTTGTACGCATAGGTGACAAATGGTAGTATGCGGTCCCAGTTGGTGTGGTCAGCAGATACATACATGGACAGCATGTCTCCTAATGTGCGATTGAAGCGTTCAGTCATGCCATTGGTTTGGAGATGGTACGCACTGGTCGTTCGATGAACAACATTGCATTCACGCAGGAGGTCTTGTACGGCCTCTGAGAGGAACGTGCGTCCGCGGTCGCTGAGTAACTCGCGAGGAGCGCCGTGGCGAAGAACAAGGTTGTGAAGAATTAATAAGCCGACTTCACTTGATGTAGCCTCTGGCAGCGCGGCAGTTTCAGCATACCATGTCAAATGATCAACAGCGACAACCACCCAGCGATTCCCGTCAGGTGTGTATGGAAGTGGGCCGTCTTAAGTCAATTGCGATGCGATCGAAAGGTTGGGATGGGCGGGGCAATGACTGAAGCGGTCCAGTGACGGCATGCGGTGAACTCTTCTGGCCTTGACATTTTGAGCATGAACGCACGTATTGGCAGACAAATCGGTACATTCCACGCCAGTAGTACCGCAGCCGGAGGCGTGCATACGTCTTTATTACACCAGCGTGGCCGCATTGGGGGTCCGCAAGGAACGAGGCGCAAATATCAGCACGTAGATGGCGAGGAATCACCAACAAGCACTTGCGACCTTCACTGAGGTAATTGCGGCAGTAAAGTAGCCCATCGCGCAAGGTGAAATGGCGAGCTGTGCGCCGCAGCGAGTGACTGGCGGTACTCAGTGATGGCTTCGATAGGAACTCCATTAAAGACACTATCCAAGGGTCTTGACGCTGCTCGAATGGCATGTCAGCGTGTGTGAGGGAAGCAGAATTGTAGGTAGAAACAGGCGCATTTGCACAGTCATGGGGAAGCGGAGATCGAGAGAGAGCGTCGGCGTCTGAATGTCTGCACCCTGACTTGTAGACGACGCGGATGTCGTAGTGTTGGAGTCGTAATGCCCAACGGGCTAGGCGACCAGATGGGTCTTTTAGAGACGACAACCAGCAGAGGGCGTGATGGTCAGTCACGATATCGAATGTCCGACCATATATGTAAGGTCAAAATTTAGCGATTGCCCAAATGATGGCTAGACATTCTTTCTCCGTGACCAAATAATTTTCTTCGGCTCTGGTCAGAGTGCGACTCGCGTAAGAAACGACGTACTCATCGAAGCCAGACTTTCGCTGCGCAAGGATACCGCCAAGGCCGACTCCACTAGCGTTCGTGTGGATATCGGTAGGGGCGTCTGGGTCGAAGTGACGGAGAATCGGCGGCGATGTCAGAAGATGACGTAATTTCGCAAATGCATCGTCACAGGTTGACGACCACGTCGAGATACCTTGGCTGTCATCAAGTAGACGTGTTAAGATGCAAAATTACAAATAAATCGTCGTAAATACGAGCATAGCCCTATAAAGCTCCGGAGTTCTTTGAGTGTTGACGGCTTAGGAAACTCGGTGACGGTGCGGAGCTTGTCTGGGTCTGGTAGACGCGATCCTTGCTGACAACGTGCCCTAAGATTGCGAGCTTCCGTGCTGCGAAGTGACATTTCTTCAAATTTAATTGTAGCCCATCCTGTGTGAGGCATTCCAGGACACTTGCGAGGCACTGGAGATAGGTATCGAAGTCTTTTGAAAAAACCACGACGTCGTCCAGATAGCAAAGGCACGTATGCCACTTCAGACCTCGAAGTATGTTGTCCATAATATGCTCGAATGTGGCCGGGGCATTGCAAAGGCCGAACGGCATCACGAACTCGTACAAGCCGTCAGGAGTTACGAACGCAGTTTTGGGGCGGTCGGCTTCATCCATGGGTACCTCAGTACCCCTACCGAAGATCCAGTGAAGAGAAGAACTCGGCTCCTTGCAAACAGTCGAGCGCGTCATCAATTCTGGGGAGCGGATAGACATCTTTGCGCGTGATCTTGTTAAGGCGCCTATAATCAACACAGAAGCGGATGCTACTTTCCTTTTTCACGAGCAAGACCGGGGATGCCCAGGGACTGTGGGACGGCTGTACGACTCCGCGACTAAGCATGTCAGTCACCTGGTCTTCAATAACCCGACGTTCAGCTTGAGAGACGCGGTATGGACGCTGGCGCAGGGGTGCATGGCTGCCAGTGTCTATATGATGAGCGATCGAAGTTGTTCTGCCCACACTGGGTTGCTTGTAATCGAAAGACATCCGAAAGCGGCCGAGAAGCTTCAAGAGTTGCGTCCACTGAACGCTGGGAAGGTCTGAAATAATGGATGGAAGGAAGGCATCTAGGGTAGATGTGTTGGCCATGGTATCGAGATTAACGCTCGCGACATGGAGGCTTGCTGTGCGACCAGGTAGTGAGTTAAGGCAGACTGAATCAATGTCCTCAAGTTGCCCTGTACATTCTCCGCGGAACAAAGTGGTTGGGACCGAAAGCAGGTTCGTGACAAATGGTTGCGAAGGAGTTTTCGATCATAATAAGAGCAAATGGGAAAAAAAAGTGCTTACGGGAAGTGAATTTTGCTGACGGCGTAAACAAGGCGGTAGAGAAAGCATAGTCGCAGGAGATTGGCACAATAGCAGACGACATAGGTGGGATGTCCGTGTCCTCGGCGATGACACGAGAAAAAGATGTCTTGGCAGGAGTGATGTCCGAGATTGCTAATAATTCAAGCTCGGCACGGGCACAATCGACAACGGCGTGATGCATGGAAAGAAAGAAAGTCTCAGCCCAATATAAGGTCATGCGAGCAGCGCGGAAAGACGACGAATTCAACCACATACAAAACATCCTGAATGAGTATACGAGTTGTGCACGTGACGGAAGGATGTATGTGATGTGCGGTCCCCGTAAGGAGAGAAACACCAGAAAGCGGAGTCGTAATCTTTTTCAACTTGCGGAACATTGCTTCGCTCAACACGGACACAGCAGCTCCAGTATTGACTAGGGCGGACACGGCAACACCTTCAATGAAGATTGGGATTTCGTTTGCAGGTTCGGAACGAGGCCTTGTAGATTTCGACTGTGGCGCAGTTCTTGCCTCGGGAACTACGGTGGTCAGTTTTCCATGTGGACGGGCGCGGTGCGTCGAAGCATTGGCGATAGCGAGCGCCAACGCGGGGAGGGTGATCGAGAAGAGTGGGAGGTGCGGCGGTTCAACGGTGAGGTGTTTGAAGGAGCGTGGGAGGGCATTGGCTGTTGCGGCTCTGTATGGCCGTAGCTGTAATTCGCTTCATTGGCAGTTGGACGAGGAATGTGGCGGCGGCAGAATTGCTCAACATGCCCGGGTAGACCACAGTAATAGCATATTGGTCGGTTGTCCAGTGTGCGCCAAGGATTATTGGGAAGGGTGGCAAGATGTCGATAAAGCGGAACTTGCGGGCTTGGTGGCGCCCGCGGTGCGTAGAAGACATGACGGCGTTGAGGAGGGCCGGTGCTGTATGGCACTGCATGTGAAGGCCTCCTCGCGACGTCGGCATAGGTCAATGGCGCTGATACAGGCAGTGGCTGGTGTGTAGGCGGAAGAGCTTCGGATACTTGCTCCTCAATGGTTTGGCACAGTGACGAGGGGAGTTTATGACTATTACTAGGGAGAAAAGGAGCAATAGAGAATTGGCGGGCAACCTCCTCGCGGATGAACTGTTGTATTTGGTGCGTCAATACTACCGGATCCGGCGAGATCGCGCCAACGGTCAGTGCAGACGTGCTGTTTGTGTCGAAACTGTGACGTCACGTGGAAACGCGCTGCTTTCGCAACTCATCATAGCTCTGGCAGTGCTGAATGATGTCTGTGACGGTTCGAGAAGTTTTCACCACAAGCATGTGGAACGCATCGTCCTCAATGCCCTTCATGATATGCTTGACTTTGTCGGCTTCGGACATGGCCGGATTGAAGCGTCGGCAGAGGCCTACGACGTCCTCAATGTAAGACGTGAAACTTTCTCCTGCCAACTGGGCACGATCACGCAATCGCTGCTCCGTGCAGAGCTTGCGCACTGCCGGTTGGCCGAATACGTCTGCGAAGGTCGTTTTGAAAGAGGCCCAGGTGGTAATCTCAGCCTCATGGTTGTTCAACCAAAGCTCTGCGACACCCCTCAGGTAGAAGTGGACGCGACCGAGTTTGTCGTTATCGTCCCACCAGTTGTTGACACTCACTTTTTCAAACGAAGCGAGCCAGTCCTCGACGTCCTGTTCATCAGTGCCGTTGAATAGGACTGGGTCGCGCTCCCTTGGAATACCGGGGCAGCGGGGGGGTGTGGCAGCATTCGGCTGTGCTGCAACGTCGTCAGGCATGATGGACGGCGAAGGTAGAGTAGGGCTACGGAGTTCCAGGGTGAAAAAGAGAACCAGCACCTCCACCACTTGATAGTTCGCGTTGAGCGTTGAGTTCGCGACGCGTTTATTAAAAAACGAACACAGGTCAAGCGCTCAGTGATCCGAATCGAAGCTATCAGGAGCACTAACCAGGTCCTCTTCGTCTTTTGCAGGCACTGCTAATTGCACCCTATCCATTCTACTATATATATATAAATATATATATATATATATATATATATATATATATATATATATATATATATATATTCTCTTAAGGTTACACCTACCATTTTTCTTTCCATTGCTCGCTGCGTCGTCCTCAATTTAAGAGACAAGAGACAAGAAGAGAGCAGAGTGGATTAGGGGACAAACGAGGGTTAAGGATATCATAGTTGAAATAAAGAAGAGAAAATGGACATGGGCCGGGCATGTAGCGCGTATACAGGATAACCGCTGGTCATTAAGGGTAACTAACTGGATTCCCAGAGAAGGGAAGCGGGTTAGGGGGAGACAAAAGGTTAGGTGGGCAGATGAGATTAAGAAGTTTGCGGGTATACATTGGCAGCAGCAAGCACAGGACCGGGTTAACTGGCGGAACATGGGAGAGGCCTTTGTCCTGCAGTGGACGTAGTCAGGCTGATGATGATGATGATATATATAATGAAACAAAGCCTGTGAAAATGCCATTCTTTTTGGTTCAAAGAAAGTGAAAACAACATTGAATAGTAGCAGAACTTTGGTAGAATGCAAGTGACAACCTAACTTATGTTAAGCTTTAAAATTTACTATACTTAGAGCATATAAGCCCGTATAACAAGCTTCCTTACTTCAGCAAAGCCACCTTTACAGAGATTACACGCGAACATATTGAGATAGGTGCTTTCACGGCTTAGCGCCTTTCCACTGCAGTGAAACCACATTTACAGGGATTACATGTGGACTAACGTGCATGTATTCGTTCATTTCGAATACTTCGAAATTTTCAACAATTCAACTTCGAATCGAAGCGAAGTCGAATACAGTAATATTCGTTTGATTATTCTAACCATTCTAACATTTGCACAAGCCTACAAATTATTATTACTAAAATCCCCCCCCCCCACCCCTCAGAAAAAGTTAAAGGAGAACCCCATAAACCATGTGAAAACATCTCTATGCCTGGGGTGGTAAACACAGATTTTACTTGAATAAGAAGATAGAACATTAAAATTGCATAGTGTATTGCTCTGTTAAAGGGACCCAAAAGAGGAAAATGACATTTACTGTTTTAGTAAAGTACAATTTCACAATACCGAAAGCTACAAAACGCTTGGTAGTTGAGAAGATACATGGTATACATACTTTTACAGTTGCGACCCAAAACATGCAATGTAATCAAGCATGCATTACACTATACTTAAAAAGTAGCGGTCCATCAAGCTACAGAAGTTGTTTCCTCAACTAACTCACCTTGTCAGCAGTAGGAGTGTGTACCCGAGATGCTCCGGACATCCTGGGTGCTAGTCGGCCACCGTGCTGTACAGAGTCAAAACCCCACCACCAATAGCAAGAGGTGCCACTCAACCAATTAGGAGAAAGAAAGGAGTGGCATCATGCAACTCCTTGTGTTAATTACAAGCAGGCATCACTTTTAGCATGCAACTCATTAACAAATCCCTATTACCTAAATGTCGAGAAAAACTTCTGCCAGCGAGAAATATGAAATATTAACATGGAGCATGTACAATAATACCTCGTTAACTCGAAGTCATAAAAACCCAAACAAATTTTTTGAGGTAAACAAATTTTTGATATAAGCAAAGTTGTGCTAATCACCGGGACAAATGAGCACTTTTCAGAAAAATCACTATTACTTACAGGCTCTTCAGCGGCAGTTTCTAATCTTTCTTCTCATGCAGGTTTAAAATAGAAGAAAAAATAGCATACAAGAGACTTTAGCCGGCTGGGTTTTGCCGCACTGCCATTTTATTTCGCAGAGAAAAACTGCCTAATGCTCGTCTGATTTATCATACAAGCATTAGGCAGTTGACCTATCTCATCTATCTAATGCTCATCTGACGTATCATAGCTGCCTGATGCATCACATCAGTCGATCTTCCGCGCCTCCGCACTCGACCTTATTTTGAAGAAAGTGCAGCAAATTTCTTGTCTAAGAAGATGTCGGCACCTCTTGAGGTGGTTCGTCATTGCCGTTGTCTCTGCCGTCTCCTACGTTAGTAGCCGCTTGCACGGTTTCGGCGTCTGTCATTTCCCCAGTCACCGCCACATCCTGCTCACCCAGCGCGTACTCCAGAGAAGTCACGTCATTTTCGGTGGCACCGTTACCTGTAAGCTTGATGACCTCTTGACAATGTTCCTCATAATCTCTGCTAAAATCTATCTAGCACCTTCAGCTTGCTTTTTTTTAGCACTGCAATAAGCGTAGACAAAGGGATGCTGAATTCCTGCGTGATGCTCGATTTCATTCGGCCTCCTTCCTGCACTTCCTTTAATTAAGGCAACCTTTTTTTCTAGCATTACAACTTGCACTGCTTTGACGTCAAGCTTGTTGCACTCGTGCTAAGTTGCCACTCTTCCAAGTCAGCTAAAAATTCTTACTGCTCAGTTTGCGCAGATGAACGGGAATCACTTCTCAGGAAAAATCATGTGCACTGACTGCACAAAGCGAACAAGACAAACTACGCCAAGCGTGGGCAGATGGCCTCCCTGCTCAGCACATGGGTCACATGACGTGCCACAGGGTTGCTTGACAAAGTTGATATGTGGCTGGGCTGAGACATCGCATTCGTGGAAAGCATCAACGTAGCAACAGGTATGGCTAAATAAGAAAAAAAATCAGTGGACTTAAGGCGTGGCAGCATCGCGCGTATCTTGTGAAATGGTCCGTGGCGGAATTTCCGTTCAACTCCCAGTCATAATTTTGAGTTATCTGCAATCAGACCCAAAAATACTTCGAGATAAAGGCAGAAATGTAGATGGGACGTATAAAAATATGTTCGGTGTCGCACAAAATTTCGACTTAGCTGATTTTTTGAGGTATGCGAGTTTGAGTTAACGAGGTATTACTGTATGTTGTTGTGTTCTGTTGATTGGTTAAACTGTTGTCAAAAATTGTTAAAAACAAACATGCACAGTGTTCAGAATGCTGTTCCCTTATCGTAAAACGCAAGACTGTAAGCATGCTGGCGTGCACCTTCAACGCCTCTTCATAGAGGGAGAGAAAACCTGACATAAGTAATCAACAAGCTGCTCAGCCACAACGCCTATACATGAAGGGCATGGAGCAAATGGACACATGCGAGTGAGTGAAAGTGCAACAGCAAGTGCAATCATAAATAATGCAGCTATGACAAAGTGCCCTCACTTACCATTATCATTGGTGGCATCTTGATGCCTCCCATGTAACTCCAAAGAAAGGATCTTCTCGGTTGTGGTCTCAATCTGGATGCATGGCGACACACAAAGGGAAGCCACGTAAGCAATTGAACTTACTAAATGCATGTAATAAGTTGACAAACAAGGCAGGTTAAGAGAGGAATAACATAACTGAGAAAGGCAGCAAGTCCAGGAATCCCATGACAAAGCATTACCAGCAACACAGTTAATACACTTGAAACAAAGGAGTTAGGGAAAGGAAAGCACAAAAGGAATTCACAAAAGGTGAGGAGGGTTTGGTGGATTAGATTTAGTACACTTTTTAAACAGCAGCATGCCACTGCGTTAGGCAGTTACCACATTACACGGTTTTGCATTAGCAGCATTTTATATGCCAATGGGAACCAGTTGCCTCAGCAGTGTACAATAGAGTCGATGCTGGAGTCATCGAGTACTTTGTAAGAGCTACAATGTAGTGAAATGCCCCCATAAAATATGGCACCTTTACATTACACTTTTGAAGTCCACCAAAACCCTCAAAAGCTGGAAGCACGGTTTTTACAATCAACTGAATCTCTGGCACCCAAGTAAAAAGAAATAAAAACATTTTGGCAAGGTTGAACCATCTTCCATATACATGATACAAGGAGGCCTTTTCAGTAAATACCACACATCAGTACAATCAAAACATGCAGAATAGAAAAGCCCCAAAAGAGAGCAGTGGAACAGTGTCCACGACACCAGCTATGCTCATGCTTCCTTGCGCACATGCAAGCCAACTGCAACTACATCTGTGCATCTCCCTGTGAGAACACTGGGTTCTGCAACCCTACAAAAGCTGCTAGAAGAAACTTTATCCTCTCAGCCAACTTGAGATGCAGCTTAGCAATGTGAAAAACGAGTGAAAAATGCACACCCCCTGTGCAGCACAGCATCGCAGCCAAAATAAGCCTGACAAATGCTGCTTCATGGCAACGAGTGCCCAAAAGAGAAAGGAAGCTTGCTTCAGATCACGACCACTGTAGTACCTAGCATGTGCACTGCAAAAGTAGCCCTAGAAACAAGAAAGACAAAAAATCTTATGCATACAGGGAGGCTAAGAAGAAAGACAAAAAGGGTCAGGCAAAGACGAAACCTCCACTGCCAGTTTTTTTTCCAACGCCAACACTGCAGCGTCTACTGTGCCACCAACAACCGAGATTGTGAATGATGCAAAAAAAGGCAAAGAAGCACGGTGCTTCTACTGTGGGATGCAGAGCCCGCTATGCGATAGTGTGTGTGATGCACAGGGCAGAGAGGAGCACAGCAGATCTGTGTGTTTGCCCGGCAGAGTTGTAGGGCAACGATGCCACTACCATCGTGGAGTTGGGCGGTTACCTCTTTCTCGACCACTTTCTCAACAAACTCGAGCGTGCGCAGGCGGGACTCCCCAGTGTGGGGATCGATGACTCGCTCAATGCGGCGGGACACCGTCTCGTCCACGACGTGCTCCCGCTCCACCGTGCATGTCTGCCCGTCGCGCAGCGTCAGCACCAGCCGAGGCAGCTCTTCGTCGCCGAGCAGCGCCTTTGTACGGGACGAGCCATGACGCTCAGACAGCCCTACCCCCCTCACACTCCCTGGCTCCTTTGATGCCACCAATGAGACTCAAGACTAGTAAGTCTCAATTTTGTAAAAACAAAGGTCGAACATATCTTCAAAACCCCAATAAATATTCAGCTGTTTCAGAGCTATTAACTGCCCCTTTCGACTCGTACAAGCAATCACTGGTGCTGAAGGCAGTGATAAATGTATGAAGTGGTGCTGGGGGCTTCAATGAGACTCGTATGCTAGCCAACGACAGAAAGTGGTAGCAGAAGTCAAGTTGATGACCTTTAACTGGCAGCTGCATTTTTAAGTTGTATGTTAAGTGAATTTTCCTCTTATTTAACCCTCTCTCCTACTAAACTTGTACACTGGCTTTTTGTTTTTATATAAGCAGTCATTTAGATCAACCGATGACTCAGTTTGGAAAAGAAAAAAAAGGGTGTTAGTTCCTTGACATATGCTTTTACTTACTTTACAAGGAACTACCGTGCAAGTAAGTCTTCATCTACCAATATCTAAGAATAGGAACAAAAGCAACAATGCCTCTAATAATGCTATAGGAATTGAAATGACGCAACTTCAGATACGCAAGATGCTTCTTGCTTACGTTAAGACTAAAACATGCTTTCGGTCACAGGCAATAATTTCTTTATACATAATTTACTTGTCTTTCTACGAAAAAGTTGAGCTGCCAAGTCTATCACCGGCTCCTGATTATTCAAGAAATGAAACGTGAAAAGGAGTTATTTTCCGTCGAGGGCGAGGCTTGGGAGGAGAGCACGAGTTGTCAGACAGCCAATTCACCGTAAGTTCCCAAACACATATACAGGCAACTGACCAGCAGCATCAAGAATGCCCAAACATATTGCACGAAACATAGGACACATGCAAGGACACACACAGACGGCAAACACAATTGTCATAAAACAATAGCATGAAAGCAAGCACAGACACAATGCACGCAACAATATAAACAACACAGCATAAAAGAAATTCCAGGCACTTGGTAACCCATTCTTAGGAAAAGCATGTCATTGACATTCAGGTATTTAAAGCAGCTCTCAATATGACAAGACACAAGTCTTTCATTAAAGAGACACTAAAGGCAAATGACAATTTATGTCAGTGCGAAGGCTCGATGTACGACAGCTTTTAAAACGGCAAAATTATCAACAACAGCACCCTACTTACTGAGAAATTAAGCTAAATTTACCACACAACGTGCCCCATGAGTGGGACATTTTGGAAGCAAGCATAGAAAAAGTCACGGTTTCGCCCCAAGAGCAAAGCAATCAATGCGACAGCAAGAAATCAGAATATCACACGAAGAATGACAAGCAGCTCGATACTTTTAGCATGCCACTACAGCGCAAACAAGGACACTCGAAAATCACCATCATCATCAGCATGACTACGACCACTGCAGGACAAAGGCCTCTCCCATGCTCCGCCAGTTAACTCGTTTCTGTGCTTGCTGCTGCTAATTTATACCCGCAAACTTCTTAATCTGATCTGCCCACCTAACCTTCTGTCTCCCCCTAACCCGCTTGCCTTCTCTGGGAATCCAGTTAGTTACCCTAAATGACCAGCGGTTATTCTGTCTACGCGCTACATGCCCGGTCCATGTGCATTTCCTCTTCTTGATTTCAACTATGATATCCTTAACCCCCGTTTGTTCCCTAATCCACTCTGCTCTCTTCTTATCACTTAAGATTACACCTGTCATTTTTCTTTCCATTGCACCCTGCGTCGTCCTCAATTTAAACTGAACCCTCTTTGTAAGTCTCCAGATTTCTGCTCCGTATCTAAGTACCGGCAAGATACAGCTGTTATATACCTTCCTCTTGAGGGATAGTGGCAATCTACCTGTCATAATTTGAGAGTGCTTGCCAAATGTGCTCCACCCCATTCCTATTCTTCTAGTTATTTCAATCTTGTGGTTCGGCTCTGCTGTTATTACCTGCCCTAAGTAGACATACTCTTTTACAACTTGGAGTGCACTACAGTAAAAGCTCGTTAATTCGACACCCGTTAATTCGGAAATTCGGATAATTCGGACGGCTCTATTGGTCCCGGCCAAAGTGCATGTTAATCTATGGGACCAAACATTCGTTATTTCGTCGGAATTCGGCTCCGCACCGCTTAATTCGGACAAATGCTGACGGCTGCTGCTACACAAAAGAGTGATAAAGCAGCGCTGGCACCACTGGAGTGAAACCGAAGCCTGAGTGGCATCGCCATCATCATCAACTAGTGGGGGCGATCGCAGCGTCACCGAACGTCGGCGTCTTCTTTCTTCTCAACTCAGCGCCTCCGACGCCATTTTCCCTTGTGTTGTCGTGTCGGAACCACCTCTTCTTGCGGAGTTCTCTTTTTCTTCTATTGTGACCGTATTTGCATGCCACCACCATCGTGCGCTACAGTGATGGCAACGCCGAAAAAGCGGCAGAACTACGACGCGAAGAACTTGGTGACTAAAGTGGAAATTTTGGAAGCACTGAAGAACGGCGAATCGCGACAGCAGGTTATGATCAAGTACAATGTGAAGCGGAGCACGTTGGGAACGTACGTGAAAAATGAACAACAGATTCGACAAGCATTCGAAAGCGAGAAGTTTCATGCCTCTAGAAAGCGATTGCGAACCGCAGCTCATCCCCAGCTCGAAGATGCTTTGCTCCGGTGGATTACCGACTGTCGCAAAGCGCATTTGCCTTTGAGCGGACCTCTCATCATGGCGCAAGGTGAGAAGTACGCTGCAATGATGAACATTGAATCGTTCAAAGCGTCAGAAGGGTGGTTTGCGAGGTTTCGAGAAAGACACGAACTTGTCTTCAGGAGTGTGTGTGGCGAAAAGGCCAGTGTTGACGAAAGCGTGACCACCGAGTGGAGAAATGTGAAGCTGCTGGAGCACATCGCTGCATATGAACCACATGACGTGTTCAATGCAGATGAAACTGCTCTATTTTTCAGAGCTCTGCCCGACAAGACGGTGACTTTCAAAGGGGACGCGTGCATTGGTGGCAAGAAGTGCAAGCAAAGGATAACTGTGCTTCTTGCCGCCAATATGGCTGGCACGGAGCGCTTGCCACTACTTGTCGTCGGGAAGGCGCTTAAGCCACGTTGTTTTAAGAACGTCAAAAGCCTTCCTGTCGAGCACAAAGCGTACAGGAAGGCATGGTTGACATCGGACATTTTTTGCGGCTGGCTGCAGCAGTTGGACCGGCACTTCACGTCGAAGGACCGCAAGATAATTATGGTTGTTGACAACTGCAGTGCCCATAACTGTACAGTCGAACTGAAGAGCATCAAAGTAGTTTTTTCGCCGCCCAACACTACGTCTGCTCTTCAGCCGATGGACGAGGGTATCATTCACTACGTGAAGTCGAAGTACAGCAAACACCTGCTAGAGCGAATGATCCTATGCTCAGAAGCTGGAAAGTTGTATCAAGTGGACTTACTCGGCGCAGTGCACATCATCGCCCACGTGTGGAAAATCACTCCGCCGCAAGTCATCGCCAACTGTTTTCGGCACAGCGGTTTTGTGAGGCCCGAGCATGCAGCAGTTGCTGACGATGGAATCGAGGAGGTGTCAGTCGAGTCCACCCACGATGACTGCCCGACTTTCGATGCTGTCCTTCCCACAGATGTGACCTTTCAGGATTACATCGCGATTGATCATGGTGTCACCACGAGTGGTCTCCTGACCGATCAAGAGATTATTAATGATGTCACGGGCGCCCATGAAGACCACGATTCCGACGAAGAATCATGCGAGGAGATACAGCCGCGACCTCATCGCACCTCACGGGAAGTCTCGGAGACGCTGTTAATATTAGAGGACGCTTGCCTGAACACCCCCGACAGCTTGCGTGCTGTTGGCCATTTAGAACAGTTAAAAAAAATTGTGATGTCAGCCAGAATCTGCGTGGAAACGCAGACGACAATTACAAAATACTTCAACAAATAAAGGTATGCTTCTGCAGCTTGATTTTAAATGTTGTGTTCCCTGTTCATTCATTAATTCGGTATTCGGTTAATTCGGACAGTTTTTCCGGTCCCGTGAAATCTGAATTAACGAGCTTTTACTGTATTACCTATTTTGAAGTGCTGCTCTCTTTCGAGGTTGTTGTACATTACTTTCGTTTTCTGCACATCAATTTTAAGACCTACCTTTCTACTCTCCCTGTCTAACTTCGTAATCATTAGTTGCAATTCGTCCCCTGAGTTACTCAGCAGTGCAACGTCATCGGCAAAGCGCAGGTTACTAAGGCACTCTCCATTAACTCTTATCCCTAATTGTTCTCATTCTAGGCTTCTGAAAACCTCCTGTAAGCACGCAGTAAATAGCATTGGGGAGATTGTGTCCCCCCGCCTTACACCCTTCTTGATTGGTATTCTCTTGCTTTCTTTATGAAGTGCTATGGTAGCAGTTGATCCACTGTATATTCTAGGATGTTTATATATGCTTCATAGACGCCCTGATTCCACAGTGTCTGCATGACTGCTGATATTTCTACTGAATCAAACGCCTTCTCGTAATCAATGAAGGCTATGTATAGTGGTTGGCTATATTCTGAGCATTTCTCTATTACCTGATTGATAGTATGAATGTGGTCAATTGTTAAGTAGCCTGTTCGAAATCCTACTTGTTCCGTTGGTTGATTGAGTTCTAATGTTTTCTTTACTCTGTTAGCAATTACCTTTGTAAATAGGTTGTATACTACAGAGAGCAAGCTGATCGGCCTGTAATTCTTCAAGTCCTTGTCATCTCCCTTCTTATGTATTAAGATGATGTTAGCATTTTTACAAGACTTTGGTATTCTTCCCGTCAGGAGACACCTCGTAAACAGGGTAACTAGTTTTTCTAGCACAATCCGTCCTCCATCTTTCAGCAGATCTGACGTTACCTGACACTCACCAGCACCTTTGCCTCTTTGCATATTCTCCGAAGCTTTCCTGACTTCTATCATTACTAGTGT